GGTGTTAACTGTTCCCATAGACCGTATAGATTTGAAGTGACCGAACCGTAGCCAATGCCAAACAATAGGCTACCTGTCCACAGATAGACGGTTTGATTGGCCAGCCATACCAATATACAGGTAACTATTGATATGACTAACAGTGCTAATAGACTCCAATCTAAGTGTATGTATTTGCCTAATAAAATACATATCAATAAACTAAATATTTGACCAATGTTATACAAAGTGGTCATCAATGCACTGGTATGTTGGTCAACTACCTGGCCATTCATAACTACTGGACCATAGTTTTGTATAAATGTCGGATAGTATGCTTGAAATGTTGCATATTGTATAGTTATCAAAAACTGTAGCAATAGGAATAATATGTTTACTATGAAAATTGATCTAGTTGGTATTAATTCATTTTGCAATTGTCTAGATAGATTTTTAAAATATAATTTCAGCATGCTTAATTTATTATTATTATTATTATTAGTATTATTATTATTATTATTACTATTAGTATTATTATTATTAGTATTATTACTATTAGTATTATTATTAGTATTATTATTAGTATTACTATTATTATTATTATCATTATTATTAGTATTATTATTAGTATTATTTTCAGCATTTATTATTGTCAATTGTCTACAATTATATGGTTTAATAATACCAATAATTAATATGAATATACCCATTGCTATACTAATTGATCCAATTATTATATACGGTATATGTGTTTTCAATTTTACGTTTATATTTTGATTTTGATTATTATTATCACCATGTACAGTTTGCCAATTGATATCCGATAGATACAGTTGGGCAACTAGTGGACCGACAATATTGGCCAAATAGTTGGCAACGTATAATATCTGTACATAGGGTGGACAGTTAGCTTCCCAGATATCAATGATCCAGATAACAATCATAATACTGTGACCAGTTTGCAGTACGGTATAGATTATGTAGTCTATGGCAAAACTGGTCAGTGATGGCAAACTAGCCAACAGTCCTATTGTTAGGCCGCGCATCATAAGTATCAGTGCGTAAATCAATTGTTTGTTGAAATAATTTGTTAGTATAATACCTATTATTATTATTGTTGTTGTTGTTGTAAAATAAAATTAAATATAATTATAAAATATTTAATTATTTTTAATTATTATCGTTAACAAAAATAAATAACTTATAATAATAATAATACAATTTTTTTAATTAATATATGTATTATACTAATAAATACTCAAATTAATTATTATCAATTTATTTATTTATTTTTTAATTATTATTAAATTTATTTATTTATTTTTTAATTATTATTAAATTTATTGATTATTTTAACTATAAATTTAATTAATTAATACTTTTATTTAAATTTTTACTTACATATAATGCTCAATAGGCTAGCAGTGGTGGCCATTGACATAATGTTGGACACATAGGAAATGTCCGTCCGATAAATATGTGCCAAATCGGGTAGTAATACACCAAACATTGAATCGGCTGTTTGCTATTTAAATTTTTAAAAAAAATTGTTAAACAAATATATATATATATATATTAAAAAATAAATATTATTAAATAATAATAACAAAAAATCTAGTTATATATACAGTATTATATATATATATATATAAACAAGCATACATACTATTGTAAGCCAGCTAACATATATCATACTAGATATTAGCAATTTTTGTATAGTTGTATATCTTAATTCATCCATGATCAATTAAATTGAATTGTATTTAATTGATAATAATAATAATAATAATACCTAGTTTATCAAATATTTCTATTAATTATTGTAATATTTATAATATTTTTTTTTTAAAATAATTGTTTTGTTGAATTTGTTTTTATAAATAATTACTGTATTTTTTCTATATATGACTCAGCTTATAATTTATAATATTAATTTATATTAAATATTATTAGTATTTTATATATATATATATATTTTTATTATATTAGAGTATTTGATAGCCAATTACTTATACAGTAGTTAAATTTATTAAAAAAAAATAATTATACTAACATTTATTTCATATAATTTATAATAATAATAATAATAATTATATATTTTTTATAAATTAAATAATTTTTAACTAAATATATATAGGAATAGTTAGATTATTTTTGTATTAAAAAAACTATTTAAATAATTAAAGTTTCACAAAAAAACCACAAAAAAATATTTATTTAAAAATTCTAATTAAAATTTATTGACTATAATTTATCAAAAAAAAAATAATAAATAAATAATAAAATTAAATATTTTATATTATAGTTGTATTTAGTTTCTGTTAATTATTAATATTATTATTATTTTTTAGTAAAATATTTGAATCTACCGTTTAATAACATAACCACAATAACCAATATAATGATTACTATACTTAATGCCAACATTAGATAGATTAACACCCGGGGATCGGTTTGGACAGTTTGACCGACTACCTGTGCGGATACTATACCGCTCAGTACGGTCACTACGAGGACAAGTAGACCAAGAAAATCGGTAACCGGTGTCATCTGTTCCCATAGACCGTATAGATCTGAAGTGACCGAACCGTAGCCAATGCCAAACAATAGGCTAACTGTCCATAGATAGATGGTCCGATTGGTTATCCATACCAATATACAGGTAACTACTGATAAGGTTGACAGTGCTAATAGACACCAATCCAATTGTATGTATTTACCTAGGAAAATACATATCAATAGACTTATTATTTGACCAATATTGTATACAGTGGTCATCAGTGCACTGGTATGCTGGTCAACTATCTGGCCATAGTTTTGTATAAATGTCGGATAGTATGATTGAAATGTTGAATATTGTATAGTTATCAGAAACTGTAGCAATAGGAATAATATGTTTACTATGAAAATTGATCTAGTTGGTATTAATTCAGTTTGCAATTGTCTAGATAAATTTGTTAAATATAATTTGAGCACGCTTAATTTATTATTATTGTTATTATTATTATTATTATTAGTATTATTATTATTAGTAGTATTATTATTATTAGTATTATTATTATTAGTAGTATTATTATTATTAGTATTATTATTATTATTATTATTATTAGTATTAGTATTAGTATTAGTATTAGTATTAGTATTAGTATTAGTATTAGTATTATTATTATTATTATTATTATTAGTATTATTATTTATTATTATTATTATTATTATTTTCGGCATTTATAATAATCAATTGTCTACCATGGTATGGTTTAATAATACCAATAATTAATATAAATATACCCATGGCTATAGTAATTGATCCAAATATTATATACGGTATATGTATTTTCAATGATACGCTTATATTTTGATTATTATTATTATTATTATCATCATTGATAGTTTGCCAATTAATATTTGATAGATATTGTTGGGCTACTAGTGGGGCGACAATATTTGCCAAATAGCTGGTAATATAATATATGTGTACATAGGGCGGACAGTTAGCCTCCCAGATATCAATGATCCAGATAACAATCATAATATTGTGACCAGTTTGCAGTACGGTATAGATTATGTAGTCTATGGCAAAACTGGCCAATGATGGCAAACTAGCCAACAGTCCGATTGTTAGGCCGCGCATCATAAGTATCAGTGCGTAAATCAATTGTTTGCTAAAATAATTTATTTAGTATAATACCTATTAATAATGATTAAATATTTTTATTATTTTAATTATTATTATGTTTAGTGATTATTTTGTTAATTATTATTAAATTTATTTATTTATTTATTATTATAAATTTATTGAATTATTATTTTTAAAAATTTAATTAATTAATACTTTATTTTTACTTACATATAATGCTCAATAGGCTAACAGTGTTGGCTATTGACATAATGTTGGACACATAGGGAATGTCCGTCCGATAAATATGTGCCAAATCGGGTAGTAATACACCAAACATTGAATCGGCTGTTTGCTATTTAAATTTAAAAAAAATATATATTTAATAATAATAACAATAAAATCTACTTATATATACATAAATAAACATACATACTATTATAAGCCAGCTAACATATATCATACTAGATATTAACAATTTTTGTATAGTTGTATATCTTAATTGATCCATGATCAATTAAATTAAATTGAATTGATAATAATAATAATTATAATAACAACAATAATTATAATAACAACAATAATAATTATAATTAAAATAATAATAATAACTAGTTTATTCAAACATTTTTATTATTCAATATTATTAATATTTATAATTGTTTTATTGAATTTGCTTTTGTTTATGATTCAGCATATAATTTATAATATTAATTTATATTATTAATACATATTATTAATACTTTATATTTTTTATTATATTATAGTCTTATAATTGTATTTGATAGTTAGTTACTTATAGTTAAATTTGTTTTTAAAAATAAATAAATAATTATACTTATTTCATATAACTTATAATAGCAATAATTATAATAACTTTACATTGTTTTTTAATAAATTAAATAATAGTCAAATAATTTTTAAATAAATATATAGTAATATTTATAAAAAATATATAATAATATAACTAAATTAAAGTTTTAAAAAACACAAAAAAAATATTTATTTAAAAATTCTAATTAAAACATTAGATTATAATTTATTAATATATATATATATATATATATATATATATATATATATATATATATATATATAGAATTAAACTTAATTTTATTACACTAATTAAGCCAAAAAAATTTTTATGTTATTTATTTACATACCTAATTGTAATTAAATTTTTTAAAATAAAAATTATTTACTAATACTAAAAAAATTAATTAATTAATTTTATTTGTTTTTTACACACACCATTTTGTATTTATTATATATACATATAAATAATAATAATAATAATAATAATAATAATAATATTAAAAATATACATATGAAAAATAAAATAAATAATATTATCAAGTTAATTTAGTTAATATATTAATATATATATATATATATTAATATAAAAAATACAGTATGAACCAATTTCTAATTGGTCTAGTGATATTACCAATACTAGTTATAAGCACTGGTATCACTGAGGCCTGGTATCATCATCAACAACAACAACAAGGATTTGATGAACCGGAACACCAATCGCTTGGTCTACATAATCATCAGCACCATTATCATCATCATCGACACGAGCACTACCATTATATTGTAGGGCCAGGCGGGCACCGGCATCATCTTCGTCGACACATGCGTTTAGGTGGTGGTGGTGGTGATGATGGAAGTGGATTTGGTAGGCACAGGCATTACTTTGATAGTGGTGATCGATACAGACATTTAGGTGGTTTGGGTGGTATTGATAATTTTGCTGGCAGACCCAATCATGGTGGTGGTGAGCCCAGGCATCACTTTGGTGGTGGTGGTAGTGAGCCCAGGCATCACTTTGGTGGTGGTGGTGGTGATGGTGAGCCCAGGCATCACTTTGGTGGTGGTGATGGTGAGCTCAGGCATCACTTTGCTAATGGTATTGGTGGTAGTAATCATCATATTAGTGAGGAAGCCCGCCACTACTACCGTTATCGACGACCCCGACCACTACCACCACCACCCAGTTGGCTGTCACCCAGGCATCCAGATTATAATGGCGATGGCGATGATGGTATGTATTGTGAGCACCCGCCAGAAAACTATAAGTTTGCACTGTCCGGCTCAGGGAAATTTAGAGGCAAAATTGATAACGAACTGTTTGCCGACACATGGATCGGTAAACACAACTCCCGATCGAAAGGTGCCGGTCAGTGGGCTGGCGATGCAGCTGCCGAACTTGAACTGATGCCCGGTATGTATGCTTATGTATGCTTATGTATGCTTATGTATGCTTATGGTGTGGGGTGGGGGTGGGGTGAGTAGGGGTTATGTAGTTCTCTGAATCTATGGGGTGAATATTTGATATTATATGTGTTGGGACGGGAGGAGTGGGTGTTATATAATGTTTATAATGTATCCACAAAAAAATGAACAATGATTTCTCATTTAAACCTATCATCAGATCTATCAAATCTATTTCCAACTACACCTCCACCTACACCTCCACCACCACCGCCAACGGAGCCGCCGCCACCGCCACCACCAACACCACCTCAACGGCCTCCACTAGACGAGCCGGGTCTCAAACCGGATGAACGTTGGGGTGTTCCCGATCCTGTCTACGAGGTACCCGACAGTCCACCACCAAAACGACACGATCCCAGTAGTCCCGATAATCCCGATCCGAGTAAACATCACGATATACCCGATCCCAACAGTAAACACGATAACAATCTGGATGATCCAAGTAAACGGGATAATCACGATCCCGTTAAACATGATCCCAGTCGACATGTCTATGATGTTAGTACGCAAAATAGGTTGCCACTGGTGGTGACTCCCGAAAACTATTTGCTAGGTATTCATATATATATATATATATATTTAATTACAAAAACAATTTTAATTTTAATCATCGCCACTAACAGATCCATTTAGCAGACATCATAAGCAGTACCACCAGTCGGATGGTAGTTGCGAACCGGGAGGTGATGATGATAGTGGTCCACCATCACAAGATGGTATAGCCAATTATGGTCTACAGTTTCTGGTTAAGGGAGGTGCCCGGGGTAAATTTAAAAGTGAAACTAAAGGACAGTCGGATAAGGGAGCATCGCTGGACAATGCAATGGATTTTGGCGGTGAATTGGGTGGCGAAACGGGATTTAAGTTTAATTTTTTGGATTAGTATAGCCCCTCCCTTCCTGCCGCCCCCATCCCAAAAAATAATGTTGAATTTTTTTTTATAGAAAAAAATATCTTATCTAATATAATAATAATGTATATTACAGTAGTTATTATTATATTTTTAATAATAATAATATCAAATATTAATATTAATAATAATTTATGTGTTTATTAAATATCTGTATATTTTTTTTAATTATATTATAATAATAATAAAAACTAATATTTAATATAAATTTTAATTACTATGATTTGTATGTTTGTTTGTTTGATTTATTTGTTGCTATTAAATACTGTATATTTTTTATATTAATAAAAAAATTAGATAATTATTATTATTTAAAGTTTTTTTTTGTGAATTTTTATATATATTATGCTATTATAACAGTATTATTAGTTATAATTTGTGTAAAATTTGTTTTTTATGTTTGTAATGTAATTGTAATTAAATAATCATTTTAATTAAAACTTATGGACTAATAATAATAATATATCATTGATTAGATACATGCCTACCATATTGTAAGTAATAGTTGTAATAATAATATAAATAATGTAATTAAAAATAAAATAAAAAATAAATACATTTACAACTAAAATAATAATAATTAAAAATATTATTATTATCTAGAAATTTATAACGGTAATAGATTATTAGTAATTATTATTGAATTATAATTGTTTTATTATATTATAAAATTTTTAAAATTATTTTTTTTTAAATATAGTTATAATATAATAATATAATTATAACAATGTTATCAATACGACTATCCCTACTACTACTACTACTGGCCATACTATGTATAACCTATACGGCMAATGGYCAATACGATGGCGACGATAACARTGATTATAGACAGCGGCCAATACCGCGCTATCGACCCGTTTATCGTCCAATGAAACCGATGGACGAACCRCCCCATCAGCGTCACCCGCGCCGACCAACCCGTAACTCCTATATTGCCGATGATAATGCTAATGATGATGAACCCTACTATCGTCCTCACCGTCATCATCATCATCGGCGACCTAAGCCGCGTGGCCATTACGGTGCCGGTGYTCAGGACCTGAAAAACTATTTCGCAATCAAATTGGGTACGAAAAGTTCGGGTACTACTGCCTGGGATATTGCCGGCGATGGYGACCTGTTTGGCAACAAAATGGCCGGCAAATCCCAGGGTCAGGCCGAGTACGGTGGCGATGCTGGCCTAATGTGGCAGCCGTTTATGGGTGTCTAATATGTCTGTCTAACTGTCTGTTTTTTATGTGTGTGTGTGTTGGGTGTGGGTGTGGGTGTTAGTGGTTCTGGGTATAAGTGCCTTATAAATCACTGTAATTATAAATAATAAATTTTTTTTGTTGAAAAAAATATAAAGATTTAATTTGATTTTTTTTAAAAAATAAAATAATAGTAATTAATTATTTGAAATGTTTATATTTTATTTTTATTTTTCAATAAATACAATAAAAACAACTATTAGTATTATTTTTTAATTATATAAAATRTTATAATATGTTAATTATAAACTGTTTAAATTGATTATATTTAAATATTTATAAAAAAATATAATARTTTAATATACATGTAGATTATGATTTACATTTAACTAAAATAATAAATTTTATATAAAATAATGTTATTTTTAAAAAATATTAATAAAAATTTAATTAAAAAATACAAGTTTTTTTTTAAAATATTTAGCTAAAAAATGTTATTAATATATATAATACAGTATATATTTTTTATAAAAATAATAATTAATTAATTTTGTTTATTTATTATAAAAATCAAATAAATTTTTGTTTGTGTGTGTGTGTGACTATCTCTTAAAACTACCTGTCCTTTAATAAACTATACTAATTTTATATTATTTTTTATGCTTTAGTAGTAGTAGTAGTAGTCTCTAATGATAATGATTGATTGTTGACCATCAATATTACTACCGGTGCTCAAATTGCTCAACTCGGTCACATCCTCTAACCGATCGGGTATGTCCTGGCCTTTAGTTTCGGGTAACATCARGGTTAGGCCAGTGGCTGCCAGTGCCAGTACGGCAAACACTGACATTGATACACCAAAATTATAATGTTCACTCTATATATAAATATAAATATAATATAAATATATAATATATATTATTGTTATATATATATAAATATTATTTTATCTAAAAAAATGATTTATTTACTTTTTTTACAAAAAAAAATCAACAACAAAAAATATTAGCATGCTAAATTATACCTCTGTATATATATATATATAWATATATATATAATAACATTAATAAATTAATTTAGTTCAATCAACTTTAGATATTTTTTTAAAACAAATATATTATATATAAAAGTATATATTAATTTTTAAATTTTAACAAAATAATAAGCATGCTTAAAATTTAAATTGTCTATATTATYATAGTATTTTTTKAGGGGGGGGGGTKGTGGGTGACTTAATTATAATTTATATATATATATATACTACAGGGGTATAATTTAGCATGCTAATATTTTTGTTGTTGAAYATTTWTTTTTATAAAAAAAGTAAATAAATCAATTATTTTTAAAACAATTATTTCTAATATATCAATATATATATACCATCTCTTTGACATACGGTGCCAGTATTGACCCTAATCGGGCAGCTATACTACAGCTACCGATACCCGTATGGCGTAGGACTGTCGGAAATATTTCCCCTGAATGTATATATACGGCATTGAATGAACTAAATATCAATAGTTTGCCAATCATTGAGGCCAGTAGTCTAATAGTTTGATGGTTACTACTACTACCGGTGTCCATCATCATCGACATAACAATAACCAAATAGGATAGCCCGGCACCGAGCATAGTACCGACGGTAAACCATTTGCGTCCGACTAGTTTCAGGCCAACAATATTCAACAGTATTGATGGTATTTCGACAGCACCGGCAGCTGCAAAATTCCAATAGAAATTGCCGCCAATTTGCTGGACATTCAGGGCCAGGCCRTGATAGATAAATGCATTGACCATAAATGTAAACCAAAATATCAGGGTATAGGTGCGCAACACTGGTACGGTTAGCAGGTCAAGTATTGTACCATGTTGTTGTTGTTTTGTTGTTGTTGATGATGATGATGACTGTCCTATTTGTTGATCCTGTTTTAATTAAAATAATTTATATAATAATAATAATAATAATAATAATAATATATAAACTTTATCAAGTATATTTTTCTGAAAATAATTTATATAATAATAATAATAATAATATATAAACTTTATCAAGTATATTTTTCTGAAAATAATTTATATAATAATAATWATAATATATAAATTTTATCAAGTATATTTTTCTAAAAAATAATATTTTAATAGTTATAGTAATAATTTTGCGAAAACTTTTTATATTTTATATATAATTTTAATGTATTATATTTTTTTAAAATAGTTTATTATAATATATATTATAAACTGTATCTATTAAATATATAGCTACATTGCAATTATTTATATGAAAATAAATGTTTTTAATTATAGGATCATTGCACATAAGCCACACATTTTTTTATAAATATTTTAATTATTATTTTTAAAATAAAAATATTCAATTTAAAAAATATAGATTGCAAAATTTTGTTTKTTGTTGTATATCATTAAATCATAATTATAATACAGTTATACAGTACTTGTAATATTTAAATGTTAATAATAATAATTATTTTTTTGGCAAACATTAAAAACTGTWATTTATAATTAGATWGATAGTTAATTAATTATATTAATTATAAATAAGTTAATTAATAGTTAAGCTATTGATTGAAAACTATTATTTATAGTTTATAATGTGATTGTTATCAGATTAATATACATAGATTATAAATTAATCTATAATTAATTAAAAAAGTATTTTTTAATAAAATTTAAATTTTATTATTTTTAATAAGTAATAATTTGAATATAGTACTAAAATATTAATTTTTTGAGTTACCTTGGTAGTAGTAGTAGTATCAATTTGTTGCAGCTCATTTAGTTTATCATAGATAATTTGCTGATCAATTGGTCGGCCATTTAATTTGGCTGCACCAGCCAGTACTAACTGAGCCCGATCAAATTGGTTTTTCGATAGTAGCCACCTGGGCGATTCAGRTATCGACCATAACCACCCGRACATGTAGACAGCAGCCAATAGGGTAGGTATGGCCTGTAGGTACTGGTAGTTTTTCAATAGATAAGCGCAACCGGGTAGAGCTATATAGCCTAGAATCCAACCGAAACTTGTCGACATAACTACATCGCTACGATATTTTGTGCCAACCTATATATATATATATATTAAAAATTAATTATAAATCTAACCATACACTGTACATACCGTTTCCAATAGCATCAGATACAGGCAAACACCGCGTCCACTATCGCCCAGACCTATAATAAATCGACTGACAATATACTGGCCGATTGTYGGGGAAAATATTAGGGATAGTCCGCCAAGGATTTCCACTGTCATGGCCAGTATGAGTACTGGGCGTCTACCGAACCGATCGGACAGGTAGCCGAGTACCAGGCCATTGACTACATAGCCAAACTGATAGGCCGATTGGGACAGTGATCCAAGCCATGACCGATCGCATACTAGATTAAACTATTAGATTGTTTTTATGTGTATATRTATATATATATATTATTTTTGTAGTTTAAAAAAATTAGCTAGCTACTATTATTATTATTATTATAGATATATTATAATAATAATGTTAATAATGTTTATATAAATTGTATAAATATTGTGTTTATAAACAATTACAAAAAATTATTAAAAATTATTTTTTTTAATAAAAATTATATAAATATTTTTATATAATTACATTTGATATAATTGTTTTACCAAAATCACCAGTGTCATATTGCCAATGTTGACAATTGTTAGGATTAGCGCACGCATCTATTAACTTGTCAATTGTATTATTATTATTATTAGCCTGGTAATATATTTTTAATAAAAAAATAAATAATGGTATATTAGTTGTTTAAAAATTAATTAATTAAATAATAAATTTAATTAAATACTAATGTAAATATACAGTATTTATATATATATATATATAGATTTTGATTAAATATATAAAATAATAATTTAAATTTAAAAATGTTTTTATATTACAGATTTTTTAAAAATAGAAATATAACATTTTATAATTTTTTTTAATAAAAAATCATATAATATTATAATAAGTTTAGATACAAAACAAAAATTATAAAACTAAAAACTAAAAATAAGTTTTCAATAAAAAAAATAATAATAAATTTAATTTATTACAATACCTTATTATTATTATTATTAGCAATAAATGTTGTATTATTGTTATTATAATTATTAACAAAATTATTATTATTATTATAAATACTGTTATTAATATTATTGTTTGTATAATTAAGGCACCGGTAGTCAATTTTAGGCGCATGAAAGGTAATACCTAAATTATTAAATGGTGATAATGTATATAATGCAAAATAAAATGCAGCAATGTTAAATTGAAATCGACCAAACGGTCCAATAATATCGGATACATGTTTAACACTCATRATTAAAATTTWWAAAAACAAAAATTTTTGTTGAAAAACAAAATTAAAATAATTATTAGTATTATTATTAAAGTATTATTGAAGTATATTTCTAGTTTACTAGAAATAAAATTTATATAATAATAATAATAATAATAATTAAATCTAATTAAAACACAAAATTTAAATTATATACTTATATATATATATATATATATATATATATATATATATATACTAATTGTTTTTTTTATAAAAAAAAGTTATTAAATAAATTTATAATATTATTAATAATTTAATTTAATTTTTTTGATTAGCTAGTTGTTTTTTTTGTCAAAAATATTTTACTATATATAAAAAAGCTATAAATACACATAGTAGTCAATTATAATATTAGTATTAATAATAATAATAATAATAATAATAATAATAAAATCATACTATAGTATATACTGTAGTAATCAATAATTATAGATATAATTTACTGGTTATTTTACCAGTAAATTATTATTATTATTATTATTATTATTACATATACAGTGCACTCATATAACATTGATTTTAAATATTGATTAAATATAACTACTGTATAAATAACTAGTGTTTATCTATATATATATATACTGTATATATAAATATTATAACAAAAATTTTGTAGTTTTTTTTATTTGTTGAAAACAACAAAATTTTCTGTACATATTAGCAATTATTTATAGCAGTGATAAAAATAATTTAATTAAAAATTGATAATAAAAAAAACATCACTGGTTGCTGACCTTATCATATAAATCAAGTTTTTTTTATTTATTTAATTTATATATGTATATAATATATAAATTAAATATATATATATATAATTAATGTGCAAAACATGTTATCTAAATCAATAACAAAATTTTTGTACAGTAGTTATATATTTATAATGTGTGATAAAAATAAATATTAAATAATTGGAAACATTTTTTTTAATTTTATTTTTGGTGACAATAATTATTTATATACACATACTGTATATAAATTTACAGATATTTTATAAATAATTTTTTGTTAAATTACAGTATTGAAATATTAAAAATATATTAAGTATTAAAAATATATTAATTATTAAAAATATATTAATTATTAAAAATATATTAATTATTAAATATATATTAATTATTAATTATTAAAAATATAAAATTTAACTATTTAATAATAATAACTATTATTATTAATTTTAATAAAAATATATTTTATTATTATATATGTATACACTGTAATAAAATTATTTAAAAGATATTATTTAAAAAAATAATAATATTTAATTATTAGTAAAAGTGATGACTAATCTATAATACATTTACAAAATAAAATAACATTAAATACAACGCAAATTACTAATTGAAAAAATCACATATTTTTTAAGATTATAAAAAAATTATTAAAATATATTAGTAGTTAAACAAACAAAAAATAAATAAATAATATTAAAACTATTTAATATTTTTTATAAGTCATTTGTTTGTTTGTTTGATTAAAAAATAATAATAATAATGTTTTTAATAAATTTTATTAAAAATTTAATAAATTTATTCAAACAAATATACTATTTATTTATAATAATATTTATAAAAAGATTATCGTTTAGTAGTTTGCATAAAATTGACAAAATATTTGAACCAATCAATAGGGAATATCAACGGGAACTGGAGTTTGCCATGACTTACCAGCACCGGGACGATGATCGTATACTGGTGTCGTATCCCCGGTCAGGTAGCCATTGGGTTACCTATATTGTACAGTTGATACTAACCGATGGTAGACTAACGGATCCGATACGTGTTGAAGATTATACTCTGGAAACTAGGGGCCGGCAGGCAMTSGATATGATACCTAAGCTGCTATTGGCTAACAATAGTAGTAGTAGTAGTAGTAGTAGTAGTAGTAGTGCCGATAYCAGTCCCGTCACTACTAATAATATACGTTATTTTAAGACACACCTCAAACGCCAACTGTTACCTATCGGCCGGCGGGCCCGGTATTTGCTACTAGTGCGCAATCCACTGGATGTTTCACTATCGGAATATCGGCTAAATTGTTATCACTGTCCTGAAGTACGGCTAGACTACCGTACCTATTGGTTGCTGGCCAATCGCCTAAGTCCTCAGCAGGTTATGGGCAATCATTGGCAACATTTAGCCGACTATTGGTCGCTCAGGGAGTCGTCGTCGGCCGCCAATAATGTTCAGGTACTGGTCTATGAAGAAATGAAACGTCGGCCAAGAGATGCCATCCGATTGATTGCCCGCTTTCTCGGTGGCCAACAATCGGTCGATAGACTCGATAGACTGGTCACAGATAATAGTACCGGTGCTGTGAAAGAGGAGACACTACTCGATCGTATTGAACGATTGTCGTCGATGGCCGAGATGTCCAAACTGTATGGCCAGACAGCGGGCGATCAGTGGCGACTGAGTTTGGGATCCAGTGTCGACAAAACTAAATGTATGACTCCCGATGATTGTCTGAATATTGTTGAGACAATGCGTAAGGAATGGGTTAATACAGGTGGACTCCAGTATCTATGGGAACAGGAGATGATGTCAATGTAGATGATTAGACACTATTGAATAGTTTTTTTTAAATAAAATATTTTTTAATACAGTATTTAAGTTAAAAAAAATTTTATTTATTATATTTGTATTTAAAAAAAAATCTATTAATTAAAATAAAGTATTATCTATTCTATTGTTTTATTATATAAAATATTAATTTTATGTGTGTGTGTGTGTGTGTGTGTGTGTGTGTGTGTGTATTATTTATCCAAATAAAATAAAATAGATATTTATTTAAAAATATTATTATTATTAAAATATTATTATTATTAAAATATTATTATTATTATTTAAATATTATTATTATTATTAAAATATTATTATTATTATTTAAATTATTATTATTATTAAAWTATTATTATTATTAAAATTATTATTATTATTAWAATATTATTATTATTAAAAAATATTATKATTATYATTATTWAAATATTATTAAATACTAAATRATAATTTCTACAATATTATTGATAAAATATAATATACAWTGTATTTAAATTACAATATATATATATATATATTGAGTCGACTATAGCATAGCGAGCGGTGGTCAACTCAAATATCGGGGAATCGGCGGTAAAGTAATTATCGAAAAAACACGTGTTTAGCAAAAAACGATTTTTATTATTCAAATTATACGACTGTTCGCATACTAGTCTCAGCGCATACTGAGTGCTGTATATCAGCTACAGGTGCTGTTAAGCGCATTGCGCACCTGTGGGCGCCATTGTTGACATGTAGTGGCGCATAGCGACACACTCGCCACCGGACAGGACCGGCGATACGGGATATATCCAAACTCATCGGCAGTGGTAGACATCGGTGTTTTCGTGAAATTGTTGTCGTTTTCCTTGTATTTTCCGTTATCTCGAATCACGCGAATAATGTCAATATTAGGGACGGCTATCGGTTCACGTGTCTTGTTTTGGATGTTACCGTCGGGTTTATCGATGTATACGCAATCTTTTCGTAAGTTATACAGTAATAAGTTCGACGAATGCGATACCAAAGTTTTAACGATTGTCCCGTCTTTCACGTCTAGTTGGTCTATACGGTAGGTTTCGGGTCCGATTTGGTCAGATATACGGCACGGGCCGACGTAATAAGGCGTCAATTTATTACGCGACGGGTGATTGTCGGGTAAACGGTACTTAACGATATCATTAACGCGTAGATCCGATTGTTTATGTCTTTCATCGTGTCTTTCTTTTCGTAGATCTTGAGAACGTCTCGACCGTTCGGTACCTAGTCTTCGGGCTTCTTCTAGTCCAACTATCGGGACGGCGTGTCCATCGGCAACGATTCCAAAATGTAGATATCTCGGCGGGTATCCCGTTATACCATGAATTTGATCGTTATATGCGATCAATACATCGGCCAATACTGTTGACCAACGGACAGTCGGCCGATCGATTAACGCCATCCGCATACCCTTAGCGATCGCATCGTTGGTTTTTTCGACCATACCGTTTCCTTGCGGATGATAGGGAGGCGTGAGGAGGTGCCGAACCCCACGTTCGTGTAGATAATTACGAAAACGTTTGGCCGTAAATGACGAACCATTATCGCTTAATATTGCCTTCGGTCGACCAACGCTATCGAACAGTCGACTTATTAGATTAATGGCTGCTTCGGTCGAATTGCGTTTAACAGCCGCAGCCCAAGTATATCGCGAATGGTTATCGACCAAAACGATTATATACTGAGCGGCGGTATTTCTGGCAGCGGAACCGATTACGATCGTGTCTAACTACCAGAGCTGATTCGGTTTGTCGGGTGTCGGTATAGGACGACTAGTACCGTGTGTTGTCTCGTTTGGCGGCTTAACCAACTGGCACGGGTGACAACTGCGGACATACGCGGCGACATCGGAACCTATCGTCGGCCACCAATGTTTAGACGATATCGCTTTCAAGGTTTTAGCGATTCCCGGATGATTTAAACCATCGTGAAACTCGATTAAGACATCGTTAACCATCGAGGAGGGGACGACCAGTTTGGTGACACCACGATAGGTAACGTTTACGAGACCATCGATTATTTTCGGTTTACGAATATTATACGCTTTTATCTCGTGTTGTTTAGCGGCGAATCGGTCCAATTCGATGGTCATCACTATGGGATTTCGGGAGAACGCGTCAGCGGCCAGATTTTCTTTGCCCGGTCGATGATGAACGTTATAGTTATATACGCCCAGTCGTACTGACCACCGGAACAAACGGCTCGATGGGTTGGCCACACCAAACAGCCACTTTAAGGCCGCGCAATCGGAATATATATCGAAATGAACGCCATCTAAATATATGTTGAAATGTTCGACCGATCGGACAACGGCCAGGCATTCCAATTCGGCGGAAGAGTATCGGGTTTCGGCGTCATTCAACTTATGTGACCAATACGCTATCGGTTTTACAGTACCATCGGTTTCACGCTGTGATAGTACGGCTCCTAAACCAACAGTTGAACCGTCCGTCTGTAGAATCATCGATAACTTCGGATCATATATACGGAGTACCGGTGCAGCGCAAAGCGCATCTTTAAGCCCATCAAAGGCGCGTTGCTGTAGGTCAGTCCAACCAAACGGAACGTCTTTTCTGGTCAAATCGGTGAGTGGTTTGGCTATCTTAGAGAAACCTTCGACAAACTGACGATAAAAATTCACGAGTCCTACGAATTCTTGTATTTGTTTCGTTGACTTCGGTGTAGGGAACTCACGGACAGCCTTTACTTTCTTAGGCGACGGCTGCACACTAGCAGCGGAAACTAGGTGTCCCAGGAATTCGACAGATTCGGCAAAAAATCGACATTTTTCTCGACGATTCGAATTCCTTCGTTGACTAATCTTTCGAAGACTTTTCGGAGCAGATGGCGATGACTTTCCTTATCGCGGGAGTGGACTAGAATGTCGTCCAGATAACACTCGACACCATTGCCGACCAATTCGTTAAGTATTTTACGTATCTCTCGTTGAAACACCGAACATGCGTTGGTAAGTCCCATCGCGAGAACTGTCCATTCGAATTGGCCGTACGGGGTCACAAAGGCGGTCACTTCCATTGATTCTTCGGCAATCGGTATTTGCCAGTAGCCGTGCGCTACATCTAAGGTGGTGAATACCGTTGATCCGGACAATTTGTCGATCAAATCACGTATTATCGGTAGTGGTGTGCGTTCACTGACGGTTTGAGCGTTGACTTTTCGATAATCAATTACACTTCGATAGCTACCGTCTTTTTTACCAATCAGGAATAGTGGTGATGCCCAGGGAGAACGCGATGGTCGGATGAGCCCTTTGGCTAACAGACCGTCTGTCTCCTTTCTCATCAGCTTTTCCCGTTCGGCAGATACTCGGAAATGGCGTTGAACTATAGGAACGGCATCGGCTTTCAATCGTATGACGTGTTTAACGTTCCAAACGCGACCGACATCCTTGTCGTGTCGAGCAAAAACATCGTAATCATTGAGCAACGGATCCGTCGGTTCTTCAACAGCACCAACTACGGTCATCAAAGCCATCGATACTTCTTTAATGACTTTGATAGCATAACTGTCGACCTTTCGTTGATCTTTTAATCGCACTTTCGTCTCCATATCGGCGATATCGATGCCAACGATAGCATCATACGAGATGTCGTCCATCACTTGCATAGACACTCTTTCCGTTCGACCGTCAAGAGTGATGTCGACACGGACCTCACCGAGTGTTGTCTTGAAACCGGCCACCGTTTTCACTTTAATACCTCTACCGTCGGGCCGTAATCGCAAATTATCGGAAATTTTCTTTGAAAGGACCGTCAATTCCGAGCCGTGGTCCATAAACGCATTCACCTGTTTATCGTTTATCCACACACCGTAATATCGATTGTCATTAACTACTATAGCGTTAACAGCCGGTGTTGAAGCAGTTCCAGATACGGGTCGAGGAGTAGACGGTTGTCTAGTGTCTGGACGGTGGCAGAGGCGCATTCAGTGGTATTCGGTGGCTCCAAATCGCTTACATCGAGGACACGGAAGATTAGGTTTGTCTCCACCGTTTCGTTTGTTCTTCCAATCGAATCTGTTTCCCTTTTCGACGCTGTCTTCCATCGCATGGACTCCGGGATATCGAAGTCTTTTTCGTGTTTCTTCAATCGCTACGGCGATCCCAAACCAATCTTCGGGAGTCTTCGGCTTCTGGGCAGCCAGATGTGGTTTGTACCAGTTGGGCATACCCTTCGTGAGTAGCCCGACTGCTTGTTTGTCCGTAGCTTCGGCTTCATCCAGAAGTCGACGCATATCCGTATAATATGACAATACGCTTTCGTTTCCTCGGAGTCGACGGTCAGATGCTTCTACAATCCCGTGGCCTACCATACGACCGAAACGGGCGATCATCTTTGTTCTACACGCGTCCCACGTGATGTCTGGTCGTTTACGGGCGACCTCGCGGCAGTACCAACTGTATGCCTCGCCGGTTACGTGTTTAGCCAACGACGTAAGTTTCTCACTATCTGTATAATCGTAAACTAACGAATTGAATCCGTCGATCCATTCGTCTATCGGTACTATCGATTTATCGCCATTAAAAGATTCACACATTTTCGAAGATGTCTTAGCGAAATGTGGCGCATATTGTTGCTTATCGACACGTTTTTCGGTAATTTCTAAACGATTCTTCGCAGTTGTATTCGCATTCACCAACCGTCTGGCGTCGCGTCCATCTTGAATTGCTTGTTCGCGGGCTGCCGCAGCGGCGCGGGCAGCGGTAGTCAATGTGGCCATTCGTTCGGCCAACTCATTGAGATCCATGTCGGCGGATATACCTTGAGTTATCGCTTCGATATCATCGGCTAATGTCGTTATGGCTTCTGCATTATCTTCGGGAATATCTTCGGTAATATCTTCGGCGTCGGTGGGCGGCAGGGTTGCCCTATAAGTATTACCGGATCGGAGAGACATATCGGTACCTTCTTCGGTCTTTTCGCTTCTTAATAAGCTCTTGAAATCGTCGCAAATGT